CCACCCACACCCACACCCACACCCCACACCCCACCCACACCCACACCCTAATTTTTGTCAAGCCTCAAAACTTATGAAACACCCTGTATTGATGTAGACCGAGCTACTTTTCAAACCTAGTCAGTTTAAAATCTAAAATTCATTCCTCACAGATAAAATGCATAATAGTACACCATTTCGAGTATTAAAACATCAGTATTTTTGCAAAAGCTAGGGCTTGATTTTTGATAATTCAAAGCTTGGTATTCAATGACTTCTAAACTGATTGGTCTGTAGAATTGTGCTTTATGAGAATTAATAAAGATTAAATGATAAAATATCTTCTCCATTTTTCTTTCATTCCTTTCCCATTTAAAAACGGCTGTAAGTAACAGTCAAAATCAAATTATAATCAGATTTTTATCTGATTTCAATATTTTGTCATAACTTTTTTGTATGCGCGCTTCTTGAGAACTGCAAAGTATACTTGAAACTATACCAGTACTTTTTCATTCAATAGTAAATTTGCATAAAACACTTTTCATGATAAGAAAAATAGTACTTAAGAACAATATTTGGTAACTTTACCTGTAGGAATAAGAATGTCTGAATGATATTCTGCCTCTAAAAAAGTCATTCAAGTAATTCGGTAGATGTGAAGGCCTTATATTATTTTTGTCCTGAAATTACTTATAGGTCAATCTGTGTTAGAATAATCTATGTTTCTAAAAACAAACAGGAAGAAAAATCGGCAAAAACCACCATTTTTGGTGATTCAACAGCGATTTAATCTCTCAGTTATCGAACTAATAAATCGCGATAAAATCGCTGGCTTTGAGCTACTTTAACAACGTGGATTGTAAGGAGGGATGCAACGGTGACGATTACCGTACGTAAAATTAGCGGCTTTGACCGGTTACTCATCATGAAAAGGATATTATCAGAAATTAACTATATTCGAGAAAGATTTACGAAAGTAAATTTTCGTTGAGGAATTCGAATCTGGAGTCAAATTTTGAAAATTGCAAGTCGACCTGTATGATAGGTCACTGTTTTCTTAAAAAAAGTCTTTCCATAGAAGAGAAATTAACGACCGAATTTTGAAAATCCGATTACAGATTCGAACTCCACAAGGCTGAGTTACTTTCTTCAATCTCTATCAGATGTAGTTATTGTCTGATAATATCTTTTTCATGATGAAGAACTGATGAAGATCTTTAACTTTAGGTACGGTTATTTTAGCGACCGTTGAGGGTGTGGGGATGTGGACGAGTGTAGGTCTGAGTGTTTGTGTGAGTGTAGGTATAGGTGGATGTGGGTGTGTATGTGTGGTTCATCTCTATTTGAGCACTCACATTCACATCCACACCGACACCACACACACACTAACACACACATCGACGCGCGCGCCCATATCATCTATCGATACATTAATCTTCTGCACAGATGTTATTCTATTCACATTGGCATCTTTACACTCGTCACTGCTGTTCATCTACGATTGTAGAGTTTTATTTGGTATCGTTCGTAAAATGTTATAGACCACTTCTCTGTTTTTTAGAAGAATAAAATTCAATCATATCCATACGTGTTTGCTTTTGAAAAGATTAGTATAGTGTGTAGATGTAACAGCAATTTCGACAAAAGTTAAAATATTAAAAATTCTTCATAATTGAAAAATAATGAATTTCAAATTAATTAGTCGAGGTAAATTAATAATTTATTTGCTTTTCGAACAATATAAGAATTGTTATTTTGGTTTTTTGATTAAATCTAACAGTTTCATAGCATTAAGTAGATGTATGTCACAATCATACGTATATTTTATATGACTCAATATATTTGTTTCTTTCTCGTATGACGATCTTCGTATAACACATTACGAACTTATCATACATCAAAATGAGAAGTTAATATAAACAGACTCGTCATTCGATTCTTTAGTCTTTTTTGTGAATATAGTTAGTCGAGTAATAATAGTGTTTTATCTTGAAATGAATGGAATAATTTGAGAAAACCTTGATTAATCATGATTCTAGAAGTGAACTGGAGTCACGTGTTCCTTTTTTTGTGTACTCTGATTTTTGAAAACATATGTACGAAACTTTTAAATTGAATATGTTTTTTTCGAGATTATTAACGTTTAAAATGGCTTATGGTTATGATGCTCTACGTTTTGCAGAGTTCGGTGCTTTGCCAAAACGTATGTTGACCCTACTTGAAGGTTATGAAAAAATGCCACTAGTTACACTCGAAGAGGCTGTTAAATCTCTTGTTAGAATAGTTCCATAGGTCAAACGAAATGTTAAAGTCGTTAAAGAAAACTGCGAAGATCCTGCAGATAGTTTAACACCTGACAAGTCAGCATCAATCATGCTGTATACTTACGAGTCGATGCCACATGAAGACTCGTTATACGTTAAACTGAATGAAACATTACGTTCTGAACAACAAAAACACTTAATTCCGTGGTTCTTATACTTGCGACTCATACTAACGGCATTGACTGGTCTTCCATCAGAGCATCGTTTTGTTTTCGAGGAGTTCGAGAAAATCTCTGGACCGATTATCCCTAAAGCAAGACATTTATTTGGTGGGGATTTTCATCGTGCACTTCATCGGTTTGGGTGCTAGAAAATGGAATGTTTTTTGGCAAAACTGGCAATAGAACTCTATTTCAAATAGAGTGTACGACTGCCAAAGATATAAAAAATCATTCCTTTATACCCGACGAAGAAGAAATCTTGCTATTACCTGCCAGAAAATTACGAGTCGAATCTTGTCTCGACTCTGGCAATGGACTTCATATTGTACAACTTGAAGAAATTAAATCTGATTATGATCATTTGGAGTCAGTTCCAGTACCTGATCCTGTCATCAAACCGAACAATAGTTCCCAGGCAAAATCTTCATCAGCATCACGTACAATTTCAACAGTACCGAAGTCTAATCCAGGAGCTGTGGCAACTAATTTAGCAGCAACCAAACTTCACAAGAAAACAAAGTTATCAGGTCAGTCTTTATTTTGATGCTTGTTGACGGTTGATTGAAGTTAACGAGAACTATGCGATAGGCGAATAGATTTGAGAGTGCAGATGTTAGTGTCGGACTCCTCTTCGTCGGTATTCATACTTTTGAATATTTTAAATTCTCAATGAGCTACGTTATAAATCAAAATATGACTCAAATATGAAATGCAATAAAAGAAGAGTATTGTGCAAGAAAGCGTTCATTGTATAATAGAATGCGAAGAATGTCGTATATGTAGAATAATGCGTCAATGATAAAAAGCACAGCCACAATATCCTAGAGAACTAAATATACGTATCACTCTAATATTGAAATTTTGTATTTATATTAAACAAAACTTCTTTCTTTGCATCTTTGACATTTTACGATTTGTATTAGTATCACCAGAAATCAATGCCGAATTGAAAGTGCAAACAAAACATATTCGATTAGTAAATTCTAGTTAGGTATGTTTTTTTTCATGAAATATACAAAAAAAATCGAAATTAAAATTTAGAATTACTATTTCATTAAGGGGTAAACAAAATGAAACTTCAAATTAAAGCATGCATATAATGTTCTTATTTGAGACTAATATCAATTGAATAGAGTAAAAAATAGTTTCTTGTGAACTACCACTTTTCTTTCAATATAATTGATTGCTCTAACGAGAATCATATGAATATTTATTCCAGAAGTAATTAAAATTAGTGGAATAACAAAATTCAATCTCTACTATGTAGAAACAGACAACGTTGAAAATGAGATTAAAATAGAAATATTTTAATTTGTTTGAAATCTTATTGCACACTGTTTATTTTTTCTGATTTGCATGTTTTTTTTCACGCCTTTCTTGCAAAGTAGATTGCACTGCTTATTATAAATCGTGATCAAGTCTCGTTTTTTCTTCTTTTAATGTTGATCAAATGGCATCGAATTACAATTAAGATTAAAATAACATTATTGAATACATTTTTTCGTAGTCTTTATTATAAAACAATGATACTTTGATATTCTTCATAGTTCACAACTAACGTCAAAGTCTTCAATTCTCACACAGAAGTATGATCAATTTATTTTCGTAATTCCTATTAAAATTTATTAAGAAGTTGAATTTCTTTTTATGCCATGTTGATGCTAAGCATTTATCTAACCAGATTGGAATAAAAAAGTGAAAATGGCATTGAAATGATTCAGAATGGGAATTCTTATAATAATGTAAGACAGCCACAGAAAATGTGAAAAACTTTTTCGCTGATGAGGCATCAAAGTGGTTCTTTTCGTTTCTTTTTTTTTTTGACTAGCAATGGTGATATTCGGACTGCTAGCAAGACATGCCAAGAAACAAAAATATTCAAACTTTAGGAATACATTCGCTGTAGGACTATTTGATATATATTAAATATTACTCGTTAGCATAAAATTGAATCATAAAGTTCACTTCTCAATCCTAATCGAAATAAATTGATAAAACTTGAATTCGTGGCTCATTTAAATTAAACACATTTGCAAAAATAAATAAACGATCGTTTTTGTTTTCTCTTTTAATTTTTCATTCACAGTTTAACATAGACTACGCAATCGATCATTCAGAATAAATTAATCGACAAATAATTTGGATAGCTATAGAGAAGATAGCTATAGAGAATACAGAACATTAAAATAGAAAGAAAAGCAAAAACATATTACGTTTCGATGATCGCTCGGATATGAAGACACTAACAAATAGAGACGAACGGGATGAATCGAGAGATGTTTTCGCAATTTTGTTCCTTTGTTTTTTTAAAGTATATCTTTTTCACTTTAGAAAATACAACATAGAGAAAACATTCTTATTGCGCTTTTCTGTTTTGAGATTTTCAAATTCTTGTCAGGATGTGGGTGTGGATGTAAATTTTCTTTTATCTCACAAACACGTGCACCCATACTCTCTATGCTTCGATTTTTCTGTGAAAGATCCACCATTGAAATCTCTAGACAATCTGTCATCACAAGTTTTTCTATTGAAAGTTAAGCGAGAGAAGAAAAAGAAAATCAGAGAATATTCAATGTGCACAATAGAAGTTGCTCTCAGTTCTCAGTAATGATAGAATTGAAATAATATTTGTAACATTTTGCTTTAGCTTTCGCAAAGCTCTATAAATGGATCATCATTGAAAACTCTACTTTTTCTCTTCACAATAACTAAGCGAGAGTAGCATTATCTTTCTTTTTTACATCCGGAATACTATAGAGTTGAAGGTTTAAAATTGATCGAAAAAATGATTTTTTGTTAAAGTATTATTCAACGAGCTACAACTACCTAAGCAGACAAACCTTTGATAAAATGCGTTTAAACGCGTTTTCTCAAAAGTTTGTCTGCTTGGGTATTTTTGCGTGTGTTGTGAATAAAATTTTTCAATCTTTTTCAATTTTATTTCGGAGAAAATTTTGAGCTCGCCATCAAACTGAATGCTAAGTAGACCATTTGGCGTTGGAACTAATGAAGACTATAGCTTATTAGTATAAGGTAAAATTTTTCTTCAAACACTCGAAATCCTTGATTTCAGATGCGACTGAGTAACTAGTTGATTAATATAACTGATTGTCATTATTAAACACACTTACTTGATATTCTAAACAGCTGATCTAAAATCTTATAACTAATCTTGAATTCTTATAAAGCGCTAGAAAAACTTTGCGCAACGAAAAAAAACAATTCGGACCCTGTCAAAATGATGGAGCAGAAAAGTTCTTCCGTTTCTGTGATTAACGGACTTTCTTCTGAATATAGCTAACTTTTTTCAAAGCAAAGTCAAAAAGAGAAAAATCAAAGCGCATATCTGTAACTATGAAGTATTAGGGAACAAATGAACATCGAGCGAGAGAGTGAAAGACATACGAAAGATTTATCATTCGGTAGTACAGTTTCAAGCTGTAGAAAAAAAAACCGGAAAATTTGTTTTATATATTTCTTTTATTCAATATTAACAAAATTTTATCTGTTATTAACAGATACATAGCTTCCAAGAATATACGACGATATTTTCTCTATGTATGAGCCTTGTAACTCACCAATGTGATAAACGAGTTGGTCAATGAAGAAGATTTCAGTTTGTGTGTGCATGTGGGATGTTCAGATAACACCTATAGTAACATAAATTTGAAGAAATTATCGTCTAAATCGTCTAACATAAAGAAAATTAATATACAGTCCAATACAGTTAAAATATCAATCTTATTTTTTTCGCACATCAAAACTTTCAATATTGAGGCATCTCTGAGAAATATTCTTTTATTCTTCTTTTGACTGTTAAAAAATAATCTTTTTGAAATCTATTCTGACAAGAATAGCCAGAAATATCTATTATAACTAATAATTTCTTTCATATAAAAACTTCGTCGATGATATGCGAATGTGTATCAATGAAACAATCGAAAACAACAAGAAAAATCGACCACGAAATGAGAATTTGATTTATTGTCAATATTAGACATACACTTATGGTTTTTTTGATAAATTGTTATTCTAGAGAAGTTTTCGAATTCAGCTGGGTGATTTATTGTATAAAAGTGTTTCTTTCTTGTTTCAAGAGAAGTTCATTGACATTAAAAAAATATTGATCACATTGCATTTAATCGTTGCATATTCGTATATGCTTGGAAAAAGAAAAGAAATTTCTCGATTGTTCAGAAGTATTTTCGTTTCGACTTCCATAGAGAAGATATGGGTTGTGATAACTGTATTATAGCATATATTTAACGTCAATATAAAAGAAGTCATCTTGATACAAAGCTAGAATTTATCTGAAAATAAAAACGGATGTAAAAAAAATCAGGCGCTCTTCTCTCTCTAGGACGAAGACCAAAAAAGAAAAGTGATCACTCTTATCAAAAAGAAGAACATCTTTTTTGTTTTCATTGTCATTTGAATTAGATTAATATTATGAGTGAGGTAGATGTGGATGAGAGACGCATCTTTGAATCAAGAGAATCTTAATACGCATGCACATAACTGCACCCTACTTGAGATTGGTTTCCGATATTGCACGTAATTTAATATTTATTCGAATAGATTTTCTATAGTCATTTAAGTGATCTTAGATGCAACTGAATTCAACATTCGAATTAAACAACGATGATGACAAATTAAAGTAGGAGAATGTTTTAGACTATAGAATTCTCTATCTATCCAAGTCGTTATACGCATTTGAAAAATGAAATAGAATCATTTTAATAGATAGAAAGTGTTCATATGTCTTCTTTACATTCTAATCAAATTCATTGAGTATCCCAGGGAGAAAGAAAAAAGAACAGAAATTACAAATTTCTGAAATTGAACAGGTTCATAAACAACTATCTGATTGTCAAGCAATCTTTTTATCAAAAGAAAAAATACGACAATTATTTCGCTCTTTCAATCAACTTTTCTTTTTCTATGAGTTAGTTTTAGTGAGATCAATATAAGAGACATGTGAACTTTTTATATTGAATTCTTTTCTAGGTGAACTTACGTTTATCATAAATATATGATAAATTAATCCATGACGATGAATAGTTTATGATAGATTTGTATAAATTGAAATTGAAATGTAGACAGGTACATTGACGAATACATATGTATAGTCGGAAAGCTATGAAACGAATGTTGAAAAGTCACTTTAATTTTTCATACGCATTTCCTAAAAAAAACTCGATTTCAAATTCGAACTGTCCCCAATCATACAAAATCATGAATTTTAGAGAGACAGATTCGCTCATCGAAAGTTCAATAGTTTCAAAGAAAAAGACTACCTGTCATCGATGAACATGAAAAAGTTATCCATAGTTAAATTGTTAAGACATTTGTGAGTTTTCAAAGACATAGGCATATTCTTTTTTCAAATAAAATTAAAGATGAACACTTTTTAAAATTATAGATGATGCTAGTTTTTAAACAAGATAAATTGCTTGTTTATAACCTAGATTCTTTATTACGCAAACTTAGCTTATTTTTCCTACGCTATAGTTTTGATACGGCACAAGTTTCAATGAAATCTAT